CAAAATCCTTTCCTTGCTCTGATGTTGTTTAAACTGAGCTAGGATAATGCCCAGATTAAAGCCCACTAGACTCCTTTGCCATGTTGGAAACCTTACAGGAGAGAAAAGGTGGAAGTCTGGGAGCTGAAGAGGCAGGAACAGAATTAGGTGGGGAATGCTATGTGGGAGTATGTAGATACTATGTATCTACATAGTATAGAAAACCTGACTAACAAATCTGAGTGACAACATTCATGTTCTCACTTAAAGTTGATTAATTGGTATGTGTGCTAGGACAATTTAATTTCGCTTAAGTAGTAGGTAAGTAATAGAACATTTTCTGTAGGGTCAAAGGAAAGAAACCTGGCACAATGGGGAAGGTGTTGTAATCCTAGCTCTTACCTTCACCCCAAGCTGCCTCCTGGCCCTGCATCCACGTAGTGGCACAGCTAGGATAGATGTGACGAAAATCACCAACTACTGTTTGCCATAAAAAGTTAGATCATGATTAATTTTTCCAAGGTTCCCTTCCCCAAGCACTTTCTCGCTTTTATGAAGTTTTGGGGAAACAGTTCATTTTTAATGTTTATTTTTATTATGTTATGTTAGTCACCACACTAGGGAACCAGTTCTAAGTTCCATTTATGATTGGCTCACAGTTCCCTTTTTGAATTGTGCAATTTCACTAGTTATCTATGTGTCTCCCCTACGGCCCCCAGTGAACACTGATTATCAAAACATCATCATTAAAGAGGTGAGCTCCCTCTCTGCACATTGTCACCAGGGACAAAAAAAAAAAAATTCTAGCTTTTCAAAAGAAAGGACAATAACATCTGCAGCCTTCAGTTAATATGATATTCAAATCTAGAACTTAAAAAAAAAATATTTCCAAAGCAAATTCCATTTCTTTCTACATTAGATATATAGGGAAATTATTTCCATCAAGAAGAATGTGAGTGGGAGAGAAAATACCTTTTAAAAACATAAGTGGGTTGTTTTTGATGTAGGAAAGATGTTAGGGTTCGGAGCTAACAGCCAAGAAAAAATTCTTGAGACGTCTTTGGTGCAAAAAGGTGGTTTTATTAAAGCCCGGGACAGGACCCATGGGCAGAAGGAGCTGTACTGGGGTCATGAGGAGTGGCCCATTATATACTTTCAAGTTGGGAGGGGGTTAGGGAGAGCCTAAGTCTCTAAGGAATTTGGAAGCAAGGTTTCTGGGACCTTGAAGGGGCTAGCTATTGTTGGGGAAAGGTCATTTATTACTGTCTCATAAAACCTGAGTCATGAGATCCTCCAGATGTATATCAGTGGGCCATATGCTTGGGGGATGATTGCCAACATGCATCTTGGGGGCTTTAGAGATAAAAGAAGTTTCCAAAGTAGACTTACAGGATCCTGGGGGTCTTGCTAGGATTGCCTTTTGCCCTTAGCAAAGTATTAACATGGAGGCAGCCGAGTCCCTAGAGGAAAGTCACTCTGCCTGTTTCAAGGACTTGCCAATGGGCTCTAGGTAGTAAGGAAATTTAATAATTTTTCTTCTGCCTTTGCTTCCCACATCAGTTTTTAACAGCTAAACTCCTAATTTGCTGGGGAATGACAGGCCATGAAGACTTTCAATTTTTCTGCTGGTACATGGCTGCCTAAAATATTAACAGATAACCAACATACAAAACAGGGATTCCATCTTGATATAAATACACTGCAAGCTTAAATCTGTTTCCTCTCCTTTGTTCCAAGGCCCAATATCAGATTTAAACAAATCAATATACCTCATGAGAACCCTCAAAAGTAAGAGTTTCTCTTCTCTGTGAATGTGAGTGAATCTGTAGGATTAGTTCCCTAGTAGTTTACAGGCTACCATCAGTAGCTGCTAATTCCGGATTTCAGATTCTAATTTGTGAAGAATCTGATTTGGTGGGCTAGTTAGTGTTCCTGAAACGGAGGTATTTGCAACATGACCTCCAAAGGCCAAAGCAGCCATAAGACCAAAGAAAAAGGCCGACAAGTTCAGCTTGACAGGAAATGGTTTATTAAGGGGACTCAGGGAGAGAAGTATGTCTTGGGCAGCTGAAAGATGAGTAGAGGTCCAGAACCCTACCCGCCGTAAAACCCGATTTTTATAGCCCTAGAGGCTGGGCGACTACCTGAGAGGAAATGTTTGAGAATCATAGTCCGATCTCCAGAGCTGATCTTTGCCCCAAGGATGTACTTGAGTGTAGTTAAAAATAAAGTGTGTGTGTGTGTGTGTGTGTGTGTGTGTTTGGCAGGGGCTGTGCTCCAGAACTCTCCAGGTCACACAGCCGTCCCCAGGACACATTGGTCCAAGATGGCGTTAGTCGGGTTCTCACACCTGAAGCAGAGGGTGTTTGTGAAGAGGTTCTCCAGACAGTTACACACAGCAAGGTCTGAGAACAAGGGAACTGAAAGCATTCTCAAAACTATAGTTCTCTAGCCCTAAATTATAAAGAACATTAAATATTAAGAGGCATCGAAAAAATCAGAGCAGATCTACAGTTTGAGGACAATATTGTACACACAGATTTATGTACAAGATAATGCTTTTGAAGGAAAAGACGATGCTGAGAAGGCACATATACAACTCTCTGGCTGTCAGCCAGATAGGTTGACCAAGTGCCAAGGAAAACGATGCCCAGCTAGCCACCATTTTACTGCCCTATTTCCAACTGCAATCACCAAACTCTGCACAAGAGGTTAGTAACGCTGTCGTACCGATCAAGTTCCCTAAAACATTTTCAGAACAAATTCTCAATACTAAGTATTAGTAGCTAAATGATCAGGGATTTTTGCAACTAAAGAAGCTTCACACACTGAGAACTCCATCAGAGGAAAAAAACAAAGGAAATCAACACAATTGCTCATCAGATTTGACCATACCTTTGAATACGTGCGAAACAAAACCGCCTTTATTATTAATGGCATTCTTTCCTCTTCAAGCTGGTAGGGAACATTATGTAAAGCTGATAATCAGTGATAAGAGACCCATCATTGTAAGGTAATGAAACTGAATCAGGGCTAATCAAGCTGCAACTCACCGGTATTTTGTTCTTTTGGGTCTAAAAAACTTGGACCCTCTAATTATTTTAAGTATCCAAATACACATTATTTCCTTTGTCCTTAATACATCACTGTGGAAATAAATCCCCAAAGTAGCCATGTCTTGAAACGTTGAGCAGAAATCCAAATATCACTTAAAATTTAAACATATACAAAATACATGCATACATATTCATGTTCAGGGGACAGACAAAGCTTAAATAACAAGATCATAAGAACCACGTCCGACAGAGAAAGGGAAATTGCTACTTCAGCCCACGTTTATTTTTGTGCCTATTTATACAAAGAAGGTAGAATGCATGAGGCATAGGATACGATGACAGTGAGTAACCTTTTCAGCCTTTGTTTCTTTCCTCTTTAAATATAGATGCGGACGGAAAAGCTGGATTAGATGCAGTCTACTTTTTCTTCAGTTGGCTGATTTTTTAGAGAATTATAAACCATGAAACTGAACTGAGTAAATGTGGGAAGTCTACTGCAAGCAGCACCTGGGGCCAAGAAAAGAGAACGTTGTCTGGGTGAAGGGAGGATGCACATCTTTACAACCAATACACACACAGCTGCTTTGCCTGGCTGCTGGCTGTCGTGGACCCCAAGTTAACTGAGCCACACGAAGAAGCTCTCTCAGTCCTGATAAGCTGACCAGCCATGAGAGGACAGAACGGCGGCGGGGGCGGTGGGGAAGCCATCTCTTCGAGCCTCAGAATACAGGCTGATTTTCTGCTTGTATACACACATGATATCTTTACTACTATTACTTCACTCTGGTTTCATCTCCTTTTCTTAGGAAAAATTATTTAGGCAAGGGCCCAAAACTTTATTTCCCTAGCCACTAAGATATGCCCATGATTCAGCCCCAATCCTCCCCTCCCCTCGCTCCCTGTTCTTTTCTATTCTTCTCCCACAGGAAGAGCTCTTTGTCAAAAGATACTCTGTGTCTAATCCAGCTCCCCTTACTGAAGCCAGTTTCCTGCCGCCCTCCCCACCTATGGCAATGGGGGTCTTTCCCCTGCCCAAACACCTGCACGGTCCCCTTCTAATGCCATTGCTTTAGAGAACCAGTCAATTTTAAATTCATCTACAATTACATAATTGTCATTTTTACATCTTGTTAAATCCAATTTTGAGCCTTCTAAGGTTTATTTCATAAGACGGAATCAATCGAACTGACTCACTGTAAACATAAAGCCTGCCCCTCCCCCCATCACTTTTATTGACTTGGGTATCTCAGTACTTAAAAAAGAATAAGGAATTCCTCAAACAAGTTTTTCAAATACAGAACTGTGGGAAGTAAAAGATCAAAGGACAATGATAAGCAGTCTAACCTAATACGTTATATTGATCAGTAAGCTGTGTATCTTCCTCATTTGAAAATTCCCTAATGAGAAGCAGCAGTGGTTGATCTTGAAACACTTGGAAACTGTGATAGGCTCATATGGAAAGTGAATGAAGTGAAGGACATGCTCAAATGCAGTGTAAAAATAATTCTGCCAACTTCTTTGGCTTACTAATTAGTAATACGTTTGGCACCTTGGAGTCCCAAGAAGATCTAAATGACTGAGACATTAATATAATGAATGGAAAAGAAGCTGGGAGGACACTTTGTCCCTATCGACCTCTAATTAATAAAAGCATTCGACTAGAGTAGTCCATGTCACCTGGCACCAGAGCTGAAGCTGAATACCCGGTGGACCCATGTCAAAGATAAGAACCAGGAGCTAAACACTGGGTCATGAGCACCGAGAGTCAGCCAGAGGCGGGGGTGTGGGTATATTTAAGCACTCTTGGGGGTCTTGGCAGATCAACGATTAACGGTGACCCAGTGTCTACTTGATACAGTCCCTGTTTCCATTGTACAGGAGCAAATTACACTACAATATTTTAAAGTGTATGTTTTCAACAACATTTACAAGTTGACGCAAATACGAATTCCAAATAAAACTTACCATAACTTCCAGTCACATTGGCACATATAACAGCCCCAAAGAAGTTTGGAAAATACTTCTGAATTCTGGAAATCACTTTCTGGCAAGCTATGGTTGGATCTTCTCCTCTTCTCATATATTCTACAGCCTGGTAGCTGATTTAAACAGAGGCAGAACTTTTAGGATCACAGAGGCAACAGAGTCCAAATTTGTTACTTGAAGTTAGAAACCTAAAACCATCAGAATTGTTACAGTTGATAAAATACCTAAGAGAAGTCAGTAACTCCTGTTACCTTCAACTGGGAAGGCAAGTAAACCTAGATACAATGTCTACCTTTTCAACTTATCTACCCCTTCACTTCAAATGAGGACTGTTCTTTTTTGACTCTGGCTGGATAACTGTTACTTAGGAATGACAGCCAGAAGTCCTAAAGAATAGAGATTATGTTTAAATAAGAAATGGGGCTGCAATTAATGGGGGAAATGGTGGGCATGTGCAAGACATTCAGCTGTAATAGTCGTCTTCCAGGAATTAATTGTACACAGTGACTGTCTTTCCTACTTTTATCATCAATTACCACAGTTCCTTCACTCGGCGGCCTTACACAAATGATTTAAATGCATCCTAAGTATTCTCATCTGGGAAGTAAAGCAAGAAATATTCTATTTTAGAGGATGATGATGACTTAAATTACCACCATCGAAAATGACAGAGGCGAAGGGTATGGAAGCAGAATTTCTAGAAAGCTCTCATGCACATAAAACCAGATGGCCTGGCACCAACAGTTATTTTCTGTCTTGACAGACGCCATCTCCTGTCAAGATCTCGAAGGGTCCTAAACGGGAGGAGTCACACCTGGGTAGAAAGCGCATCAGTATATCCCCATCGCCAGTGGCTGCAGCCGTTCCTGCGCTGTCATCCGCGTAGGCACCAGCTCCGGGTATTGGCGAATCTCCTACTCGACTTTGTGAGGGCAAGGCACAAAAATTCAGGACAGGAGATCAAGTGTGAATGCCACAGTATTTTAGGACATGATTCAACAACAGGGGATGTTTCTACTTAGCCACTGATGATTGTTCTAAGTAAAGTCTTCATCAGAACACAGAGAGCAAAGATTTTCACTTGTTTTTCAACTAAGGTTTCCACACACCTCAGTTCATGATATAAGCATTAGATGCAGCCAGTTAGATGTCAAGATGTCACAGATTTAGTGACTATTCAATTACCACCGTCCTTTGTCATCGCATTTCTGGACTATCTCAGTAGGTTCCGATTGGTTTTCCTCAGCTACAGTCTATTCTTGCTTTCTCTCTCATGTGTCAAAACTTTACCAAGGTTCTTCCTTGTAATAAACCTTGGGTGTTTTTCTATTTTAAAATAAAATCCAGAAATCCTTAAACTGACTCAGGACCCCCTGCAATGTGGCTTCAGTCCAGCCCCACCGCCCCCCCCGCCCCCCGGGCACCTGACATTCATGCAATTTCTTTTCCAGCAGGTAGAAGCCCTGAACCAAGCACGCGCTACCCCGGGTCTGTGCGTGCCTTAGCCTGGATGCTCCCTTCCCTCCCTGAGGCTCCGGCTCGGCCCCCAGCATCTCCCTGCTGGCCTCTCCCCAGCCAACTGCCCCGCTGGCTCAGACCACCCTGCCATCCCTGAGCTCCATGGCACGGGCTGCAATGCCCAAGCCTTTGGCACTTAGCAGATACTCAATTATTTGCTTTCACATTTATCTATCTCAGTGGTAGGGGTGGGGTTGTGCTTTACATTTTGCATCTCTCACTAGCACCTTGCACATGCTGGTTTATACTCAATGCGTATTTGCAAGATCCGTTCTTTCAGAAACACTAACCCAGGTATTTTGAATTTTATACCATTTGTAGATGCCCCGGCAGCAGTATGTCCCATCTTATCGACTACAACCATGCCTAAAAGTTAAAAAAAAAAAAAAAAAATCACTGTAGGTGTCAGCTCTGAGGTTTACCTCGAATATAAACAAATACTTCAGCAGCTGGTAATACAAATATCCTCACTCAATAATTTCGGGTAGAAGAAAATAGGAAGCCCAGGAATGCTGAAAATTATACCACTTGCCTAATGTGTACTGTTTCAGAACCCACTGTCAGAGCATCATCTGGCAGACTTTCTATATCCTTACTCTTCAAACTGCTCAGTTACCTTTCAAAGGTAATTCCAGAGCAAGTCATTGACACAGAATAATGGAAATTTTCAACATGACAGCTCTATTGTGGCAAACAATATAAAATTATTAAAGAACTCCATATCAAGCAGGGGCGCGTGGCTAGCTCAGTCGGAAGAGCACGTGATTCTCGATCCAAGGGTCGTGGTTGTGCCCTATGTTGGTACAGAGATTACTTAAAGAATAAATAAAAACTTAAAAAAAAAACCCAGCGTATCAAGAAAAGATTTAAAAATCTGTAAGTGGCTAATCGCTAGATTTTAGGGGCCTTGTGTAATTTATCTAAATGTATATAGATACAATGGAAGGAAACTGTGTGTACGTGCACCCACCTATCTATATATAGGCTTACCTGGCAGTGCAAGTGGTTAAAATCACCTTCTGGCACATAAATAAGGATGTAGAAGTTAAGAACTACAGAAAGGCAATTAAAAATGGCTGAACTTTAACCATAACAATTATATAAAAGGCAAGTTACCAATTGTATCATGACCGTGGTTATCTCCTGTTTCTTTATGGGAAGGACCTTCTTGCTTTAAGATACTAGGTGGTTTGTAAGGTCCACAGTATTTTGAAGCATCTGGGACAACATTCTGTGAACAAGATTTAAGTTTTAGTTTTTAGGAAGGTTCATTTTAGAAACTGGCAAGTAGTCACATACAATGATAGAACACTAGCAAGAAACCCAAAGGATGTCTGGTAACTGAAAGGTATGAATTAAAAACCAAAGATTAGCTAAGTCTTATGTGAACGGATGGATATAATTTAATTTAATACTAGTCTAGTATCAGAATTACACAGTATAGAATCGGCATCTATACTGTCTGGAAAAAATCCCTAATTTTTCTCTTTATATGGCTAAAGGTCTCTGCACAATGGCAGACAGAAATGAAGATTTGTGTATTAGATCTTAATCCTCAAAGGAATTAGGTACACGGCCTGACCTTTAAATTTCAGAATTTGTTCTCTGGCCAAAGAAGAATTCTGAGATTTAAAGCAAAATCTACTTTAAAACCCTCTTTATTTCAAAGCTAGGTTCATGCGAACATATTCTAAGTTGTACTCAGATTCCTCTATGGATTTAAAGACACAAGAAAAGGATTAAAACTCATAAATTTAGGTTGTGCATATGGATTAGTATTTAATCAGGAAACCTACTGCTCAGGTCTTACTCATTAGTGCACTTGCTGCCTCCCCTGACCCAGTTTTATACACTAGCCTCTTTCAAATGCTAACCCCTGAGACTCACTGGTTACTCAAAGGTTATTAGGGTTTGGGAGAAGAAACAGATGAGAGACTAAGGTAGTCCACAGAAGGGTTCTGGATGGCAAAGACAAACAGATTTATGCTAAAAGTCCCACTGATTTAAAAATAAATGACCCCACCACTAACACACTAGCCACCTAATAATATAGATCTAGTCAACAGGGCAAGATACTGGGTATACTTCATGCAGACAAAATGTAAGAAATATTTTAGACAAATGGTTTCCAAACTCTGATTTTTTTAGACTTGGAACCTTCTGTTGCAAGGAAATACAAGCAGAGCTGTTCTGACCGAGGCCACCCACTCTTGCCCACATCAGTGCCGTCCCAATTTGAGAACTGCTGCCAAGATCCAGGAGTGTTCCACCACAGACGTACGTGCACGAGAAGCAGCTAAGGAGTGTTCAGGAACATCCACGCCCAGAGAGTCGACTTAAATCGTTGGTTCTCAAGTGCCACCAGGGTGATAACCAGCACTTTAGGCAAGAGGTAGCCAACAAAGAGCAGATGGGGTGTCGCTTCATATTTTCTAGTGATTTACTTTTAAAAATTGGGTCTACATACCCTCCAGTAATTTGGCTGGCAATTCCGAGCAAGCCAATCTGAATGAAGGGCTCGAGAAGTATTGGTAGATAAGTCCTCACTGATAAACCCCATACTTTCAGCAAACTTGGTGGCTGGAGATAGGAAGAAAAGAAAAAGATAAATTAGTTAAGCATTGTCTTCTAAATAAAATACATATACAGGAAGTGTTCTTGGTCAGCAGTCTCTCAAGTGGGGTACACCATCCCGGGGGGCACACGATGACTTTGAGAATATTCAGACACGAACAGTTTTAAGGACATCAGTTTCTAGATCTCAACTGCCATGTAATTCCTAAATCTGATCTGCTTGAGACCCTTGGGGTGTATATTGTGACAATTATTAATTCTCTTTTCCATCCCCCTTCCCAGTCTCCCTTCTTGCACACCCCGCTCACAAGCAAGAATCTTATTGTTCTAACTAGGGCGCAATGCCCAGCGTTGAGACACCAAACAAAGAGCCAACTAGACTCCATGTGTGAGTAACATCTTTTAGCTTGTCAGACAGTTTTTAATTCCATCTTTTGGCAAAACTGAAGGACGCCTAGCTGTGGAGTTATTAACTAATTCATCATTAAAAAGTATTTTTGATTATAGGTCACTGTATGATTTTTGGTATATAATATGGAAGACGTTCAACCAACTGACGCCGTCATAGCAATACTCTGGTGCCCGTCTTCGGACGAGAAGAATGCTCTGTGGTCTCACCCTGATACAATGAATTCAGGGAGAGAAATGTTGCTGGCTCATGCTTCAGTCCAGCAATTACCTATCTATAGATAAGGAACTAGGTTTTTTAAATCCTTTTTTTTTTTTTTTTGAGCACTCATAATTTTTCTGTTTTATTTAGCTTCCCTAGTCAATGTCTCTATCCTCCAAACCTTAGCATCCATTCCACCATGTTATCCATGTTTAAAACTTTAGCATGTTGTTCTTTATTTTTTACTATTTTAAAGATGAAGAAAGTGTGAATTTGGAAGTTTAGTAACTTACCTGACAGTAAATAGATATTAAGTAAAAGAGCTGGAATTGGAACTTGGGCCGGCTTTGATCGATTTTATTTTTTCACAGTGAGGAACAGAGGGCTAGATAAAGCTTCAGTGTTGTAAAAATATACCTGACTCTCCCACTAACAGCGTGTGTGCTGTATGTTCTAGCACTTTCCGAGCCACTCCGATCGCATTTTTAATTCGCCTGAGATCTCCTACCGCTCCTACGTTCATAGTAGTGCTGAAAGAAAAAAGTGCATGTGATTGATTAAGGTACTTTCACAGGTTCAAAGATAAAAACAGTATTGGTTTACTTGGAACAACAGTTTTGTAGGATAAATTCCACCGTCTTAACGTTACACACGACAGCACATGCATGAAGTTCATACAAATTCCCACAAGCAGACAGATTAAGGAACAAACAGCAAATCAATCTACCACATACTCCCAACAGTACTGTCATTCTCAGTTTCTCCTGACTCATTTTAAACGTGGCTTCCAGAAGTGGTTTTAAGGCTTTGGGTCATGCAAACCACAGCTTATGGGGATGGCAGGTCAATGATGGTCTACCAGGGCAGACATCTTTTCAAAGCTTGGGATTGTGTGTGTTCTAAGGAGACTACCTACTTCTATGTGGTATTTCTATTACGATGATGATTTTCTTTCAACAGGGAGGGAAATTCCTTGTATTTGGACAGGACATGTACAATAAACTAGGGGTTTTGACCAGACAAAGCTTACACATGCCTGTCTTGCTCTCAGCAGAAGGTTGATTGATGTTCTTACCCGTCCATGATCATGGCATCCAATGTGGTTTCTCCAAGCTCATCGGGACTCCCTCCAAAGCCCACACTGCCGTCACACTGCTCCCTCTCACACACGGCACAGCCATGCTCAACTGCATCCAGGGTAGAGCCTCCAGATGCTAAGGTCCTCCACGCTGTTAATCAAATCCTGGTTTATATACTGATTTTTTTTTTTCAGTGCCAAATGCAACAAACCAGAAACGTTTTGAGAACTCATATAAAAAAAAATTTCACATTTACACTAAGTTATTCAGAATTTTAGTTTAGTAAGCGTGACAAAGGAAGGATGTAGACAAAGTTGTATAATGCAACTATTTACGGCAAAGAATTTAAAGACTTTTGCTAGTGTTATAAAGTGAGGGGTGTTTTTTACTTGCTAATATTTCTGTGCTGTGTAAGAAATGTCTCCTCTCCTTCAATTTTCTAAGTGAAGCCACTAAAAGGCAGTTAAACTGAAAATTCATTAAGTCAGTCTTATAAATTTCTTCTGCATCACTAGATTATCAAAAATATATACAACTAGGCCTTTTATTGAGGTAACATCAATCACAGCGAGTCTCAATAACCACACCCTAACAGCAAATAATGACAGCGAGGGCTAGGCATGGCTTCATCCACTAATCTGCACAACAGCTTTTCAGGTGAGTATTGTACAATTACTATCCTCATTTTAAATAGGAGGAAGCAGACCCAGAGAGGTTAAGTAACATGTTCAAGGTCACACAACTGTTAGGTAGCAGAGTCAGGATTCAAAAGCCCATTTTGGCTCCAGTGGCCATGATTTTAGCAGCACTTTGTTCTGTGGAGTCCCATACATTGAGAAGGAGAAAAAAAAAAAGATCTTTGGTGGTCAATGTCTTATTAATAAAAATAGAATTCCTTGAAGGGAAGGTGCTATTACTGGTAATTTTAAGTATTACTACTGGACCTACAGGCTTGAAAGTGCATTTCAAGAAGTTCCCCTTTCACTACAGGCGGCCTTTCTATGTCCCCTGCCTTAGCCACTGCACTTCCTGTTCTGTCTCCTCATCGCTGTTAATTTCTTTCCCAGCCTCGTTTGCTCACCCTGAATCCTAAGCGCCACCTGTAACATACACTTAGCTCCACCAAACTCCGGAGTCAATTCTGCCCCAATAAGTTGCATTAGCAGGCTCGGATGGGAGAGGAGGAGTCTGAAATTACGCTTGGGGTAGTCGGTCTCGGAATGAATGAGACAAACACACAATACATGAATAAATGACAAGATCATGGTATGATACAGGATTGAATCAAAGCACAGAAGATAGGTGCCTAACTCAGACTGGGCATAAGGGCAGCAAATCAAGGAAGGCTTCCTGAAAGAGGTGACACGCAAGCGGTTCTCAATCTTGGCGGCAAATCAAAATCACTTAGAAAGCTTTAACAGGACAAAACAACACAGAGGTCCTTTTCCCAGCAGTTAAGTGAAAATCTCAGGGGGCAGGGCTCAGGCACGGGTACTTAAAGAAGCTCCACAGATGATTTTAACGGCCAACCACGATTGAAACTCTGTATTCCAGGTGGCAGATACACAATGTCAGCATGTAACAACAACAAAGTCAATGTGAAAAGAGTATCTATGCTTTGGGGAATGAGTAGCCTTTTGCAAACTGCAGTTGCGTCAGGGTCCTGGGAAGAACGGAGGGCTTAGAGAGGTGGAGAGACAAGAGACAGCCCCGCGAGGGAATGGATGTCAGGGAAGACAGCGTGGGCGCCCCTGGAAGAGTCCAAGCAGGAAGGCCCTAACTGCTGTGGGTCAGCAACCTGGTGGAAACCCAGGCGGCGCGGCGCTGGACGGAGGGCGGATCGTGACGTGCGGAGGCCCTGAAAAGCAGCAGCGGAAAGCAGGACCCGGGACCCGCTGCAGGAGACAGGCGGTGCGGCAGGCGCAGGAGGGCCTGGGAGCTGAGGCTGCGGAAGCGCCGGCCCACGCCCGCGCCAGCCCGCCCCGGGGCCAGCCCCCGCAGCGCAGGCCCGCCCCGGCCGCCGCCCCGCACCTGCTTCGGTTGCGTTCTTAAAAGGCCAAGTGTTGAGGACCAGGGGCGGAGCGCTGGAGCTGTGCAGGAGGCCTGGGCCGAGCAGGAGCGGCACCAGGAGCAGAGGCAGGCGCCACTTCCGTGCCATGGCCGCGCGCCCGCGGAGAGGGGTCGCGGCCGCGGCTCAGCGGGCCGCCCGCGCTCGCGCACCCGCGATCCCCGGCGCCCCGCCCAGCCCGCGGCCTCGGCGGCTCCCTTGGGGCGCGGGCCGTGCTCCCCCTACTCTCGCGAGACCTGGCCTCCTCGGGCCGCGGGAGCGCGGGGGCCGCGGGAGCGCGGGGGCCGCGGGAGCGCGGGGGCCGCGGGAGCGCGGGGGCCGCGGGAGCGCGGGGGCCGCGGGAGCGCGGGGGCCGCGGGAGCGCGGGGGCCGCGGGAGCGCGGGGGCCGCGGGAGCGCGGGGGCCGCGGGAGCGCGGGGGCCGCGGGAGCGCGGGGGGCGCTTTCTGGCCTGCGGCCGCCTTGGCTCAGTGCTAAGGGCCTCCTTAGGTCGTACACAGATTTTTTTTTTTTTTTTTTTAATAGTTAACCAAATTATTGCTTTCCCCCGTTGTGAAAGGCAGACTGAGCCTCGAATGAAAGTATGCAGCCCTGGGTTGCATGACCTGGGACTATTTTCATTTGATTTTCGCTTATTATCCTTTAAATGAAAAGTAGACAAATTTTCGAATTCAAAATGGGCTCCGGGATCCCTGGCCTCGGGGGGTTATGCGGGAAGGGCGAAGCAGGCTTGCTTACAGCCACAGCCTTTCGCAGGATGTGCTCTCATTACGCGTCCCGGAGCTGAAGGCAGAGCAGACACGGACTCTGCGGGGCTCGGAAGTGCACGCACGCTCCTGGGGCCCCGGGGCAAGACGGTCGCGTCTGGAACGTCCTCTGCCTTGTCCCTGACACCTTTCAGTGCTAAATACATGTTTGAAATCAAGGTGGGATGGAGGCTTCGCGTTGTTAAAGGATACACTGACAAATATTAAAGATTTTGAAAACGATTTTTAAGTAAATACACTATGCAGGATATTGTGGAAAACTTTGTAAACGTTCACTTACATCTTTTTAACTAATAGGGGAGGTTTGGGGGGTTGATAAAAAGAATAGGTGGCCTCTGAATTGTTGATGATGTTGTTTGGCTGACCCCCTCCCCGCCCCCCATTCAGTTCTGTTACCCTTCAATTTGCATCTTTATATCGGGAAGACTGTTTTCAAGACTGAGATGGAAATCAGAGCATTCCTGTTTTCTAGATTTAGGGCTGTGCGTCTTTCCAGTGTTTTAATAAATCCTTCTTACAAAAGCTTCAGCTTGTTTTCCATCCCTCTGGGTACATAGCTTCATTTTAGATTAGGGGAGACGGCGTAAAAACTCCCTGTCAAGCTCTGATTATCAATTTTCAATTTGGCCACCTTCTGACCATAGAGCTACAATTAAAAACAATCCTTTTGAATGTCTTGTCAGGCCTCCGCTGAGACAAACTGTAAATGCTCCTGACCGTATTGAACAACCCTTTAGACATTAGGGGCGTCCTCAAAAACGGTGCAACAGATAATACCCTCCCAAGATCCAGAGGCACTCTCAAAGATAACCAAAAGAGAGAAAGACAATTTTCCTGAGAGCTGGCAACAGCCAGTAAGACCACAGGTGCAAATGGCATGCAACCTGCATTTCTGCATAGCCATATTTTTGGGGCCCAAACCTGACAGGTGCCAAGCCAAGTTCTCAAGACACAAAATGAGACAAATGAGAAGGCAGCAGCTGTACCTAGGACAGAAAGGATTGACAGCCAGTGGGTACCTAAAAGCAAATTCATGTGTCACAATTCAAAGATCTAATACTTGAAATGTGGGTGTTTTTTTTGTTTGTTTGTTTTTGTTTTTTGTTTTTTTTGCCTGCCAATCTGAATTTGGAAAGGAAGGGACGAAGTAGAATTTTACCTTCCTCTCTCAACCAGACACCACAGATGGAGATCTGGGAAAGCTGACTTTGGTAAGAATTCTTGCCATTTGCCAGCTTCTGCCATTTGCCTAGGATTCTGTCTGTAGGCTGCAGGGGGAGTGGAGTGTCCCAGCTGGTCTCCTCCTGGCCCCCAGAAACTGTAGAGGAGGAAAAATGATCTTCCCTACCCCCTTTATGATAGTGCTTTGCTGAGACCCCTTTTATTCTAGGGCAACTCCTAAATGCATTAGGTTATCTAGAGTGGTTTAAAATTCTCCATTGTAGCTGCTGTAATTCAAGATTATTTTTGGTAAGTTTAACCTGCTTGCTCAACCTTAAAACAAAATTTTATTCACCCAAGGCCTCACACTGGACCCAGCCCAGTTTCCAAGTCAGACTGGTCCAGTTTCTAAGGAGCACCTAGCCTGCTTTCAAAGTCAGACCCGGTCCAATTTCTAAATCGGACCTGACCTGGAAAAAGAAACTCTCAAATGAAGTTTCTGAAAGCTCCTAATGCAAAAGCTGCGAATCCAACAGGACCCTCCCAGCACCTCTGGAGGCATGGGAAAGCAGCGGAGCTCAGGGGACTTACAGGTACCTTCACGTGGTTGCTTGTTCTTCCTTCTGTGCTCTCTTCTGGCACCAGAACGGTTAAAAGATAAAGTGAGGTATATTGAAAAATTTGAGTTCATTTGACAAAAATTGATTCAAATTGGGCAGCATCCAATCTAGCAGATGGAAGGGAGCTCAGAGGAGCTGTACAGAATCAAAGACTTCTATAGGGAGAATGAGGCGGGGACAAGGAAAGTTAGAGTAGGCAAAAAAGTGGGTTAATTACTCCAAGGTTACTTTCCTTTCTGGGGTTGGCAGGGGACAATCAGGCAGAACGTGTGACTAGTGCAGATTAGGAGGTTCCTGATTGACTGGTTTAAGTTTCTGTTTCTGGAAGAGCCAAGACTGTAATTAACTCTTGGTTTGGTGACAGAAGCCATAGCATAAGCAACTTCATTTTTAGACCTGTTGCCTTGTTTTTAGCAACGCGCATGGTAGAGATTGCTCATTTTGACAGTTTGGTTGTCTAGGCACACGGCTCGGCATGAACCAGTAATCCCTTTGGGGCTCTGGGATACCTGATTCTGTTGCCAGAGGAAGCCACATCATCAAATAATTTTGACAAATATTTACAAATTTATCCAGACTTTTAAAATATTAACTTGGTGGGAGTTGCGAAGTTTTCAAAATCTTCAAGGCTCCATTGCTACAAAATCAAATACACAATTTAAACAGCAGATGATAGTCTGGAAAGTGTATCCCAAGGTGGGGAAGTATTGTAACGGTAGATGCAATTGAAGAAAAGTATTATAAATTTCTACTGTGGGATTTTGGAGGAGAAACAAATTATTTCTGCTGGTATAATCAGGATAAGCTAATGCTATGTGAAATTTGAAAGAGGGGGTGAAATAGGATAAGAAAGCAAAGAAAACAGACATTGTGCATTGAATTAATTTTCATTAGCACCTGAACTGAGCCTTAGTTTTTTGCTATGTCAGGAGCCAGGACATGGCTTCAGAGAAAAATGGTGTAACACAATACATGAAAATTTGGTCTCAGTGCCCACTGCTGCCTGTAGGTCCTCCCTTGTAATTAAGTCATTTGTGTTTCTTTTGGCTAAAAGAGCCTGAACTTGGTCACCTCCACTAAGCCCACCCTTTTTTCCCAATACTATTCTCTCCCCACTTGAACTCAAAATTCCTAATAGAAATGCAACTCATCTATTGGTTGGAGGAAAACGGCTAAATTATACTATAGTGGGAATGTCTGAGAAAGGGTATCAATAGGTTGGCTTCCCCAAAGGTATTTGTATTTAGAATAATTAATATGCCACCTCAAAGGAATCTGACTTTTTGGTGGCTTTTTAGCATCTATTAAAATACCCAATGGGTCCACTATCCAGTTAACTTAAACTTAGAGTCATGTCTGCAGCTCTGTCTTAAAGATGTTAACATACTCTGGATATTTGCGTTCCTTCTGGATTGATTTTTCTTTGACTAACGTTTGGAGAATAGTTTGAGTTTTAGTCTTGGAAGTACCCTCATGTTACTCGTAGGTTTTCATGTAACTGGATCCTTATGCTTTATTTTGAGGTAAATTTAAATGAAAAGAGACATCAATTGATTAATTAGGTAGCAGACCTTTAAAAAAATGGTCCAGGGTTTTCCCAGCATCCTTTTCAATTTTTCATTCTCTTAAATCATTTACTATACATACCAGCAGAGATATGTAGCATTACTGATAAAAGAGTTAGTTATATGTTATTTTTATTTAAGTTTAGACTGCATTACATAATTTTTTTTTGGTAAGGTGTTTATGTTGCTAAATAGAACTACGTAAAACTATCAACAGGATAGAATAGACTCTCAGGGAGATTCTCAAGACATGGGTTTTAAAACGCAGGACAACAACCTATCAGCCGTGGCTTACTTATCTAATCTTCCTGAGGCACTCTTTCTTTATCTGAAGCCAGGAGAAAATAAGAGTGTTCTCCTTTGTTTTATAAAGTTTTGCGAATGAGGGTAGGGATGTGAGAGAAAGGTTAAGTACTGTGCAGATTGAATAAAATTCTTTTGCTTAATTGGCATTTACCCAGCATCCATTAATTGATGTCAGGGAGGAGGTGGTCCAGAAATGTACAAAGCAACAAAAAGAAATCAATTTGCGATTCAGAAATTTCTACAGGAATTATAAAGAGTTGGCCAGATACCTATAATGCTCTTTAAAGTAAATACTTAGAATTTCCTTGACTGTCTTAAATGGGAATTAAAAATAAGGTTTTCCGCCGACTTTGAGCTGTCTAAAATTTGGTTTAAATGTTTATAAAAATGGTCCATTGCTGGGTTGTGAGATTTCCGAATGTCTTAGGAACATCATCCTCCAGTCTTACCAAGGAGACAGCCTCAAACGGAACATTAAGCGATGTTACAAATAGAGTCTTCCTGTGTGGGGTGAGGAGGGGGGTGCAGGAGGCTGCAGTCTCCCCTCCATTTCCTCTAAACTTCATGGCTTTCAATTTATCAGTCTCAGAGGGATGAAGAGTTGAGTCTCTCCTGATAGCATTTGAAGCTGTGGTTCCACAGAGGATTTAACGCTGTAGTTGCAGGGAGTCTAGGTATTTCAAATCTGAGGCTTAAAAAACTAAGCCATCCCCTCCGGCTCTTGCACTGATGCTGTGAAATCCATTTGAGAAACATGCCCATGTTCTGCTACTTGTTCAAAGCTGTAAGCGTGACTTGGCATTGAAATAATAATT